TGTTGACAATGATTGTGCAAATTAAACAGATACTGTAATTTTCCCATATTCATAGCTTTGTGAACATGATGTCTTATGTTTTTGATGACAAAGTACCTGTAATTCTTAAACAAATACTTGCAAAAGACTGGCAGTTGTTTACATTAAAGTAGTTTAGAAATGTAAATTTCCAAATCAAGCGCAGGTGCTACGTGTTGAACTGTGAGCCATAAAAGATAGGAAATTACAGCTTTTAGAAGATCTCATTATTTCAAGCGCTTCCAGTCTCCTAAGACAGTGCTGCTATATTGAATCAATGGGGCCAGATTAATTACTGTTAGTGTGTGTATGCGATACTAGGACAAGCTTTAGGTTCCCCTGCTTCTTAAGTGCATACCACAAAAACAACATAATATTAAGCAAGTTCACAAAACAAGTGCTTATACAGTGGGGCAGAAAAACAATGATAGTGTATAAAATTCAGGGGCTAATAGTAATGAATGAGATTGACCGTAAGTGCACTGTTGTGAGATCAGTTAATGGCTTCCCAACCGCCCTATAGCAGAAATACTGCTACAGGGTGGCACGGGTGTGCAAAATCATGTATACTGTATATACGTGATTTTGCATTTCTGGTTAGGGTGCGCGCGAGCTGCACCCTACCCGGAGCGCTGTTTGTGGCCCCAGGTGATTACCCGCGGCGCCCAGTGATTACCGATGATCACCAATGGGGAGGAGGGCTGCTTTGTTTACTAACAGTCATCCTCCCTGCCAGCTCGGACACACTGCTCTGGATGGCTGTGCACAGCCATCCAGAGCAGTGTGCTTACAGTAAAGCACACCACCCTCACCCCCTAGTAAAACACTCCCAGCACACAGTTAACCCTTTGTTCACCCCACATGTTAACCCCTTCCTGCCCAGTGCCATTAGTAGTGTCAGTGGTTTTTTTAGCACTGATCACTGTATTGGTGTATTGGTGTGCAGTTCAAGCGGTCCCTGACAGTCAGGTGCTCTTTTTCCCGTGAGTCACACTAGGTACCTATAAATTTAGTGGCCAAAATGTCAATGGAAAGGTACTCTAGTGAAGAGGCCTACAGGATTATGAGTATGTCAGATTAGAACAAAAGGGGAAGACTCACTGACACAAACAGACTTATCATACGACCCTGTAGACAGCAGCGGCACCCTAATAGATAGCTCATATGATGGAGAAGAGGTCCCTGCTAAGATCAGACGTACCCAACCCCATTCCCAGGTTGCTGAGATGTTCCAAATGCATGATGACTCTCATATGCAGCAGAGTGCCAGTACTAGTGCCGCTCTACCTTTTGGTCAACTGGCGAGCACCAGCAGCCTAGTACATCCTGGTCTTTCACATACCAGCTCTGCAGTATCACTTGGTGATGTGGCAAGTCCCATAAGTGCAGTACAAGCTGGTGCGGTGCTGAGCACAAGTAGTGTCCCACAGCCACCAAGAATTTTCAAACAGGCCTGTAGAGCCGCTAGTATCCTTCTGGATGTGCTTGAAAATCCCGCTTGGTAGCCCACAAATTCTGCAGCACCCCATTCACTGCCCAACCCGGAATTCAGGTGGAAACAGCAAATTTAAATACTCCCCTTGATTTTTTGGAGCTGTTTTTCACAGAGGATGTGTATGCATTAATTGTGGATCAAAGAAATTTATATGCACAACAGTTTATCGCCACCAACCCAAATTCAAACCTTGCCAGACCATTTGCATGGAAACCCAATACGATTTCCGAATTTAAAGTTTTTTTGGGCCTAACCCACAACATGGGTATAACTAAAAAAAAAATGAATTGCGGTTGTATTGGTCCACAGACCCGATTCATCATATGTTCTCTGCTGCCATGGCCAGGCATAGATATGAGAGTATAATGTGTTTTATGCATTTCAATGACAACACACTCTGTTGTCCTCGGGGTGACCCTGAATTTGACTGACTCCACAAAATGTGGCCCCTCATAAATCACCATAACCATAAATTTGCAGATGTCTATACTCCCCAGCAAAACATCTGCGTTGATGAGTCCCTCATTAATTTTTCTGGCCACCTTGCATTCAAACAATTTCTCCCCAGCAAGCATGCCAGATATGGGGTTAAGATGTATAAAACCTGTGAGAGGGCAACAGGCTATACATAAAAGTTTCGGATTTATGAGGGAAAAGATAGTCACGTGGAGCCCCCTGGATGCCCAGACTACATGGGGAGTAGTGGCAAGATAGTTTGGGACTTGGTGTTATCCTTTTTTCCTTATGGGGTACCACTTATACGTGGACAATTTTTATTCAAGCGTGCCACTATTTAGACATTTGTACAATCTTGGAATTGGTGCACGTGGCACCATGCGACCTAATCGCTGGGGCTTCCCCCAATGGCTTGTAAATACCCATCTTAGAAAGCAGGAAAAAGCCTGCTTGAGAAACGAGGATGTCATTCAGCTGCAAAACGACTTATTTATTCTGACAGAAACAGGGTCTTGCTCTCAGAATATACATAAGTAGGTGTGTGCAGTGCTGTTGGATTAGATTTTTCATCCGCAGTTAAAAAAAGAGCATATATGCCAAAACATGGGGGCCTGGGGTGGCCAGTGGGTGGATGGCCACTATGCTTTGGCATATATATTTTGAAATATTTTTTGGCACATTTCAGTTGTGGCCACCATTAGAAGTTGGTGGATGCAGGGCGGTATATTCTAATGGTGGGCATACCACACACTTTCTGGCAGAGATTTCTTCTCTTTTTTTCATTCAGCCCACAGGCTGCATACAATAAAAAAGAACATAGCATATACACCCAATAAGGACCAGCGACATACTGGTACATCACTGGTCTTTGAGTGGTTATACCAGGATGATGCCTGCAGCTGCAGGCATCATCCTGGTATCGTTTTTTTTTTCATCCGGCGATTGGCTTTCATGTAAAAGCAATCCTAGTTGCTAATTAGATGCAGGATTGCTATTACATACAGCGGGAAAAGATTCTCCCCCTCCTCCGCTTCTTTCCACAGCCTTCTCGGGCATTCCTGTGCCATCAGGGGAACCTGAGAATGCAGCCGGTGTTTCTGCTAGTTGACTATAGAGCCGATTGGAGACCGGCATGATGCCAATCATATCTATAGTCTATGAGACCGGATGCTACGAGCATTTCATTACTTCAGTTTCATTTGATATAAACAGCGCCATTTGTAAATTGGAAAAGCATTTGATCACATCGATCTTGGTGAGATTAGATAATGTAAGGACAGAGGAGATATCTAGAGTCTGATAGACCCAGGGGTGGACTGACCATTTGGAATCTCGGGCACTGCCCGAGGGCCCAGGGTCAGTAGAGGGCCACATGAGATGCCCCTGGTACCTTTTTCATAGGCTTTTTTGAGTTTGGGCAAGGATACAGGGGCCACATGATCCCCTATTTCCCGGGGGCCCCATGAGTTGTCAGTCCGCCCCTGGATAGCCCCAGATTTCTCAAAAAAGAATATATGACAAAGCCCATTGAAGTTATAGGGATATTTGCATTCCCTGTGATAGCATTAAAAGTGATAAAAAAATAAAAGGGACAGTGTAAAAATATATAAAGAAATCAAAATAACTTTAAAAAAAAACACCCTCCCCCCCCCCCCCCCCCCCCGCGTGCGCACCTGCGTGTGCAAGCGTTGACCCTGTGCCGGTATGTAAAGAGCGGTTGCACCATGCATGTGAGGTATTGCCTCGCACATCAGATCAAGGGCAGTAATTTTAGCACTGGAAATCCTCTGTACATCTAAAATGGTAGCTTGTAAAGGCTTTTAAAACATTGCCTATGGATATTAAAAAAAACAGCAATAGCGCTTGTATGATAACAAATTTCCAAGGTACGATCCTTCAGTGTATCAGGAAACTCAATAGTACTCCTCATATCCCGCTCCACCAGATGTCAGAACATGCACTTTCATCCTCCTACAGATCCCAGGATCACCTCTTCTTCTTCTCACTGATTGCTCACACAGTCTGCCCAAAAGATGCCCAGGCACCCAGCTGTTGGAGGGAGGAGACGGGATGAGGGGGATCAGGGATCGCCCAGGGATGGAGTCTTCAGTGCAGCAACTCCCACGTGTGTGTGTGTACCTGGATTTAACCTCCAGCCTTCATTTTCATGGTGACATTTAGGTAGAACATGTGGCTGTATATATATAAAAATAAAACATTTGTAATGATTTTTCAGTATAGAGGAACATAGACACCAGTTTTTTTAATACTGCACATCAGGGGTGTCAAACTGGCGGCCCTCCAGCTGTTGCGAAACTACAAGTCCAATCATGCCTCTGCCTTTGGGAGTCATGCTTGTAACTGTAAATCTTGCAATGCCTCATGGGACTTGTAGTTTGGCAACAGCTGGAGGGCCACCAGTTTGACACCTGTGCTGTACATTGAATGGATAAAGCATATTACCAGAACCAACAGTAGGCTGGCTGGTTTTTATTGCTGTCTGTGGCCACATGAAAATGATTTATGGTCTCCACCATAAAGCAAAAACCAAAAATGCCAAAAGGTTTTAAGAAAGTAGTCAGCCATGAACTATGTACTAGTGACTCACTAATTAGGTTTAATTTCACAGCAGGTCAAGATATGTGATGTATTATATCATATCAGCAAAGATTATTATAAAAACATTCTCACACAGATTCTGATTTCAGACAGCAGTTTAGGGATTGCTGCATTTTTCCATGTTCCTTGTTTTATTGAATAACCCCTTTGGTACAGGTTTTCCCAAACAATTTCAAAGATGCAGTTCAGAAGAAGACAGTGATAGGCTTTACATTTGCAGTGCTTATGAGTTATGAAAGCCTGGTAACAACAACAATATACACCAGCAGAATCTTCTGAACAGTCAAAATTTTAAAAATATCCTAAGCCCCTATTGCAGAGCCTCAAAACGTTGCACTGTGCTCTCCAGCTGACATGCAAGCATTACTTGCTGGATTAGGTGCTATACTCTTGAAAACAAGCGTGTTCTTCAGATTCTATTCTAGGTAACTCTGCCTTTTCCTTATTTGCAGGGGGTGAAATCACAAAACCCAAATTTGCCCAGTATTTTCGTGGCAGCATAGCTGGGCTCACCCTGCGCCCTGGCAAAATAGAGAGCCAGAATGTTATTTCCTGCTGGCAGGCCTGCAGAGAAGGACTGGACATCACTGCTCTGGAAAACTTAGGACAAGGTGTTAAGGTAAGATAAGCTTTTAGCAATAATAAAAAAATAGTTGTTTCAAAGGCTTATAACAGAACATTAGTCCCCTAAACTCACTGGGGAAGGGCATTTTCTAAGCTAAACTTACATGGGAATATTAATTCCCCATTTTAATTTATTTTATTTTTTGGAAAGAAAATGATTAAGTTTAATGTTGCTTGGTGCAAAAGACATACCTTCTGAGACTCAATCTTTATGGACAGTATGGCAACTTATACCAAAAAGAATCCTGATAATTATACATTTTTTGCCACTGTGTGGGAACTATGGTAATTACAAGCACTTTGGGGTACTGCTCTCTACTACCCATGCATCTGACCCACTAGGACCTAAAACATAACTTTTATGTAATACATTAAAACGTATCTTGCAACCATGTGACTCATTTACTAACAGAGAGAACATTGAGACCTATTGAAGTTAAATTCTATTTCACAAAATCTCCAATGGCTTATTATGGAGTATCAACTCAAAACAGATGTGCAAGTGAGACTATAATATCTATAGAGAGAACACAGCTTCGATTTAGTTTTTGTGGATTCTCATTGGATTAATTGTCTATAAACGGAGAGTGCATGATTATATATTAAAAATCAAATATCAAGGGACCACTACTTTTGCCTCTCTGCTGTATATGTCCTACTTGGTCCAAATATAACTACAATACTATATATCGAAGGTAAAAGGCACATGGAGAACTATTAACAAAGTCCTCCAGACCATATTCTCACAAACTATCTTATATGTCAATGTCAAATCACTCCAAACTAAGCTGGTATTAGCCACTTCCAATCTATTGGGCTATTGGACTGGAGAATATTTGGAACTAACCATCTACTATATTACTGGACTAAGAAGGACATTTTTCTTTCTTAGGTAAAACTTCTGCACTATCATAATTCATCCAACTAATTGTACCTCCAAAATCAATTCTCATAACAGGATCACAATACTCCCCCCAGTAAGAAAGTGCTCAAAGCTAAAAAAAAACCCAAAACCCTACATGTTTCACCTTAAAAACATGGCTTCATTGGGGGTGAGATAGTGAGGGTGAAAAAAAAAATCAAATGTGCATAAAGTTTGCCACATAGCTAATGGTGTCTTTTCCTTATTCTCACCTCTATTTATAGCATAGAAAGTGGGAGCCCTACTACTTTTTCTGCAGCAAACATCATTACACCATGTGCGTGATGATGTCACCACCTCAACCGTGAGCTTCCACAGCTGAGACAGGCACTCATGAAGTGCTATCTTGAACTCATTTTACTAATTTGCAGTTGCTTTTGCACTTGCCGCTTTTTAGAACAAATACCAATGTTATCCTGCACTACTTTTCACACACATAATATCTCAGTGAGGAGACTCTTGCCTTGTGTGAAACTTACTTCATAATCTTTAATGGTTCAATTATTCATTTAATAACAGCAAGTAGAAGAACTTCAGTTATGTCAAATATCATGCATACCAATCCAAAATAGAAACCTAGGAGGCTATTAATAATGCACAAATGGCAAATGCGTAAAACCTTCATTCAGGCCATAAGGTGATCTTTAGCCGAATTTAGAGATCCATAATGCCTCTTATTTTAACAACTTTTTGTCTAGATCTCCTTTTCTTGGGTCCAACTTTATATTTTGCACTACTCAAAATCATATCATTAATATGTTCTAAGACTTGCCTCCTAAACTGGTGGATGGTCATAGAGCAGAGGACATGAACAACTGGCAATATAAATTATTCCATAAGAACTGCAATTGTAGAACTATCAAATTGTCAGTTGGTATAAATGAGAAGCCCTTGTAATGACAGCAGCACTGTGATCCCTTAGCAATGTCTGGCAGCCAGGCTGGATTACGTGTCACTCTTGGAATTAGTCCAAATTATTGTGGATTAAACCATCCCTCAAGTTCCTACCCCACCTATAAGTTATTGATGGATTCTTTGGTGAAAATTCTTGTAAGCCTTTATCATCCAGTAATATTTTCCAGTATTTTTTAATGATATTATAAATCTGCCCAGACTGACATGAATAAGTGGCAATTATTCATGTCACTGCCAGCCCATCATTCTTAGTTCTTTTCTGTCCTAAAGAATCCCAGGGTAGTGTATTCACTCTATAAAATGATTTCTATAGATTGCTCCTTGGATGTCCTTTTTGTGTGAATCTATCCAAAAAAAAAAAGTTCACATTCTTGTGTTAAACAATTTTGCTTAGCCCCACATGGGCTTCTGAAAGATTACTGTTTGAATTGCACCATCGTTCCCCTTACTAATATTGAGGTCTATGAAGTTTACTGTGTTCTAGTTATCTCACTGGTAAAAACAAAATACCAATCGTGTTCTCACTGAGATGTACCACAAACTGCTGGAAGATCTCTCTCTCTGGTTCCATTCGAAAGAATGAATATATTGTCTGTGAACCTCGTCCACAGCAGTATGCTTGAGGTATACTGAAGCATATTATCAGCAAATATATTTTTTTCTTCCCACCAACCTAAAAAAAGGTGCACACACTGTGCTCATTGCTGTACCTACTAGTAAATGTTCCCCTTAAACAGGAAATAATTATATTTGATGATGAATTTTGGAAGCTTCAGTACATATGTCCTCGAAAGACTTCTCTCCTCATATTTAAAAAATACTTACAAGCTTGTATGCCCAGAGAGCACTCTATATTGCACTCTCAGTGTATTTACATTTAATTCAATGAGAAAGTCCATGAAAATTGGATCTAATTTGTGGTCTCTCTATTGGTATTATAGTTGCATTTTCACCTGAATTAGAAGCAGATACTCCATAATAATCCATTGGAGGTTTTGTGATATAGCATTAACCTTGCATGGGTTTTAATGCTCTCTCAGGTAGTAAATGAGTCACATGGTTGTGTGTGTTAATAATAAAATAAAGATATGTTTTAACGTATCAAATAAAGTTAAGTTTTAGCCCCTAGTGGGTCAGATGCTTGGGTAGTAGAAAGCATCACCCGAATACTTTTTTGTTTGTGGTATGGCAACTGACTGACTTCACAAGATCCAGTGCCAGATTAACTCACCAAAGAAATTCACATATAGGATTCGGTGTGCATTTTTCTAACTTGAAGATGTTTTTTCTGTGTGTTTCTTGTGTGGTAAAAAGAAATTTCTCTCCAAAGTCTGTGTTCTAAATGGACAGGAACAATGCTTGACCAGTAGCAGGTTGTAGGTTTGGGCATGGAAACTAAGGGCTGTGCTAATACCAGTAAAACAAAGGGGGTACACAGAAAAAAATACAGTAAAAGAGTTAAACAGTCTACTGTGACACTATATACTTTCAAGTTTATTTCAACTGGTAACTTCTTCAAGAACTCTTTTGATTGATAGCCTTTATTTTTTAAAGAAATCTCTACTGAGAAAATACAGGGGCTGCTAATGCTGGTTTCTTATCTAGAGATAGTTTCTTGGCTGCCTTGTTGATCTAACAGTCTAATAGTTCTGAAAATCTGGCTTTATTTGTTGCTTGGTCTGGATAAATGTACAAGAAAGAACTGAATCCAGAAAAAAACAGGTAACTACTTTTTTTCAGTAGGATGCCAGCAGTGGAAGCCCTTTTTCCTTTGACTGAGACCCTCCACATTGTATTTCTTAAGCTGACTACATCTGTAAGAAGTGCCACAAAATGTACTCACCAAGCCTCCCTCTATGCTTTTATATCCAATGGCCATTTTCAGTTGCTGTTTCACTGCTACAAAAATTGAGAATTCCAGATCTTTTAAGCTCCCCGCTGCTCACAAAGTGGGAGCTAAGGATGTAGGTGTTTGTCTACAGGTATTTGGGCTGACATAAAGAACTATGTCCAAAGCCTTTTTTGGCCATACTTCTCTTCTGGGTCACAGTTGTGCACTTATTTTTGTGTCAGCTCACTGTCATAGAGCTGTCAAATCATAGAGCTGCTTCAGTCTCTGGATATATCACGACAATAATGTTGGGATCCACTGAGATACCTGACCAGCAGCTGGCTCAGCCTCTCAGCACACTGCTGAGAGCCTGAGCCAACCACTCCTACTTCCTCCACACCCCAGTTCTCCAGTGAAGACTGAGAACTGACCGATCAGCAGAGTACAGTTGCACCATCAAACTGATGCTGCAGCCACATAGGTATGTATGTTTGATTTTTTGACACCCCACATTCTCCTTTAACAGAGGAAATTAGAATCAGGTTAAAACCTCTGGGGATGGGGTATCTTTAAGCAGTTAGGCTTATAAAAACTTTTACAAAGGCATACTTATGTACCTTCTGACTCCAGAGAGACCAGCAGGACTTCAGAATAAACATACTTACTATATAAGAACTCTGCTTGAAGCTATTGAATCTTTAAAATCTTTTTATCACAGTTCTCTTATCTCATTAATCATATGGAGCAGGTTTGGGGTATTTGCGCAGATTGTGTTAGCTAGATCAAGCTGGCTTTTATACTTTTCACATACAAAAAGAAATCTTTGATATGGAATATAAGTACAGACACTAAGGTACTATATAGTTACAAGAAATAAAGTGGAGCAGTGATCTCAAGGTATCAAACCTAATATTACACAGATATATAACTCTATCTATTCCTTTTTGCCTAAAGTGTAGACTTTTTCGCCACTTCTGTTCTAAGTAAAAGCAGGAGTAATTATAGACTAATTTATGACTGACTGTTATATAGATAATGGGCAATTAAATCGGGCTTCAAGAAGCAAATTTATACAGTCCATGCATGAGCTACATGGTTTTATGTGGGAGCGTCAAGTCAGAGTTACCTTCTTCTCCTCTGTTCTCTATGTTTCTCGTATGATTGAAGGAAGACAGAATCATGTAAAGACTGGTATAATTTAGTTTTTTTTTACAGATAGTGAGGGGAGAGCTGGCTAAGAGGGAAACAGGGCAGTACCAGAATGCTGTAAGGGCTTTTCTACGTTTTCCCATACTTGGACATGAGCCACAATATACACTTATTTTAAAGATATGACCAATTTCTCGAGGTCTTGTTGAAGACTGATGTTTCGTTTTTTTTTTTGTAGAGCCTTGAGACTATTATCATTTAGCTTCTTATGTTTCCTAGGTGAGTTATTTTGGTCTGAATATTAGTTGTGGTGGTTATAGAGAGGTCCACATGAAATAAAAGGAACTAATGGGAGTGAAATTTCAACTTATTAATATTGATAATAATAGGTGGGTGGACAGATCCTTTAAGGAAAGGCCATTCAGGAGGATAGAGCTTATGAACCACCCAGACTACCTACATATTTCTTGCCCTGTGCACATATATGTATACCAGTTCTATTTTCCACAGGAATATAGTAGTGAGTCTTCTCCTGCTGATACGTTTGCCATTAAACTGTCCTAAACGTTATTTTAAGATGAGCAGACATCTGCCTTCACATCTGAATAGCTGACCTTAGGTAACCAGAGGTGGTAGGTACAAGAAACACAAAAGAAGCAACAGGAAAGGTAGAGAGGAAGGTAATGAAAGGAGCAGGTCCTGCTCCCAGTTCATTGGCACTGTTTCTGTGTCCCCAAAAGTGTGCTGCTCAACTTCATTCTTCTTTCACAGTGTTACAATTCAATGGATTTTCCAGATTGAGCTAATTATATTTTTTGTCCAAATATGCAAAGTAGAACAAGTGTACATTTTTACAATATACACGAATATTGGGAATATCATTCCAAACCAATCATTGAGAAACCGTTAACATACTTGGAACTTAAATATTGTTATGCTGCTTAGTGAAACTACAATATAAAACAGTTTTAGAATGTATTGACTTATTTTGTCATGTCAATGCACTGAATAAATAATAAATATCATAATTGTTATGAATTTCCCAGCTTGTATCTGTTCACTTGCATTAAGATTGTATTTCTTCCTCTTCTCTTAGTACCATTTCAACCCTTCTCAGTCTATACTGATAATGGAAGGTGAGGATATTGACAGCATCAACCAAGCTCTTCGGAAAGTTTCATACATCAACTCTCGGCAGTTTCCAAACACTGGCAAAAGACGGCTGAGGGTGTCATCCAAAGTTCAGTAAGTGGCAACATAAAATACACATACCAGGTTTGAGACGAAATATGCAATTGTAGGCAATGTCTTGTTCACAATGTTATGGTTAATTTTCTCAGGTTTTCTGAACTTTTGGTGTAGAGGTAGCCAGCTTCTAGAGGTCTGGAACAGACTACCATGAATAGCCTCCACTGTCAGGATAATGGATTTAGTTAAAGGTGAACTTTTCCCATAACAACTTAATAAAGAAATATTGTTCTTTAGCAAAGAACATACAATCCACATTAATTATTATGCTACCAAAATTAGGGGCAGTGCTGGGGGAAATGTACACAGCACACTGTTTCTTCTTGCTGGAGACTGTCATTTTGTTAAAGCCTAGTGCCCCTGAGCAGCAGTAAATCTTTTAGCTATCAGAAGTTCAGCCTCTAGTGGCTCTGTTTTTGTGGCATAGCGCAAAGAATAAAAAACAACTGAGGCTGTGCAGAGCAGGATGAGACTGTGTGTTACTGGATTTTAGACAGTATAGGCACATATTTGTAATATTTTAAATAGCTATACCTGCAAAATGGGCCAACATGAAGTAATCTATCATGACTTCATTTTCTGAGTAAAGTTCCACTTTATGGAAATTTGTCATGAAACAAACCATGTATGAACAGTTTCTGAAAAAAACTGCCTATCTTTTGTTTAGTTCAGTATCACAGATCAGGAATTTGTATGTCACTTGGGAATCAGAGAACAGCAGTTTCCATCTCAGTTTTCTCACACAAGCATTCTGCTTTGTGATAGTCTTGTAGTATATCTTCAAAGACATTCACTTTCAAACCACATTTATCAACTGACAAGCCATTACCTAGTTACAGCAATGATACAGCAATGAAGGCCGTAAAAGTACTAATTAGGGATAAGGGATCTGACTAGATTGAAGCAGTGTCAATGGTGGAGTGGGACAATTTTCTTGAAGTGGATAGTCACAGTTTCCCATAATCTATTAACCATTGCCTGACCACGCTATAGCCGAATGATGGCTACAGCACAGTTGTCCAGTTCTGGGATGGCGTTATATGACTTCCTCCCAAAATGTGCCCCTGTGACCCCAGCGGCGTGCACCCAGAACTTTCTGTGATTGCTGTTTCCTTTGAACACATGATCTCATGACATGGTAAAGGGCCAATCACATCAGCCTTTTGCCACGTGATCAGCTGTGTCCAATCACAGCTGATCACCATGTAAACACACTTGCCAGTTATCAGTAGTACTTTCCTCATGCTGTCACAGTATGAGGAAAGTACTTCCGATAACCAGCAACTGTGAATATAGACATCTACACTGATAATCAGGGCACTGATTACCAGTGCCCTGATTATCAGTGCAGCTCCAAAAGTGCCCATCTGTGCCCAACAGTGCTGACAAGCTGTGCCCAACAGTGATGTCAGTCAGTGCCTCCTATCAGTGCCCATCATTGTTGCCTATCAGTGCCCATCAGTGCCAAATATCAGTGCAGCCTCATCAGCGCCTCTTTATCAATGCCCACCAGCGCTGCCTCATCGATGCAACCTATCAGTGCCCATCAGTGCATCCTATTAGTCTCATCAGTGCAGCCTCATCAATGCACATCAGTGAAGGAGACAAATTACCCGTTTGCAAAATTTTAAAATAGAAACTAAGAAGACCTTTTTTTAAAAACAATTTTCAGTCTTTTTTAATTTCTTTAGTAAAAAATAAAACACCTAGTGGAGATTATAGACAGTACCACCAAATGAAATCTCTATTTGTGTGAAAGAAATTATAAAGATTTCATATGGGTGCAGTATTGCATGATCGTGCAATTGTCATTCAAAGTGTGACATCACTGAAAGCTGAAAATTGGCCTAGACAGGAAGGGGGTAAAAATTCCCAGTAGGCAAGTGGTTAAGCTGCAATTTGTGCTATTTTGCTGTGTTTGCTCTCACATTAGTGCTCTTCTCCATCATCCCTAGTATTTCTACGGAACCAGGAAGAAGCTTTCCCACTATCTGTATCATCAGGGGTTAAGTGAATGGGCATTTCCTCATATTGAAGCATTAGATTACTTCAACCTTTTTAACATGCTAACCTGGAAAGTAAAATTTATATATTTATTTATTACAGGTACTTATATAGCACCATCAATTTATGCAGTGCTTTACACATATATATTGTACATTCACATCAGTGTCTGCCCTCAAAGAGCTTACAATCTAAGGTCCCTAACTTACATTCTCACATACACATACTAGGGACAATTTAGACAGGAGCCAATTAACCTACCAGCATGTCTTTGGATTGTGTGAGGAAACTGGAATACCCGGAGGAAACCCACACAGGCACAGGGAGATCATGCAAACTCCAGGCAGGTAGTGTCATGGTTGGGATTCGAACAGACAACCCTAGTGCTGCTAGGCAGAAGTGCCAACCACTCAGCCACTGTGCTGCCCCAAATTAGAGTAAAGGCAGAACTCCTGATCTGAATAAGAGATATTGTTTTACTGTAATTCTGTCAATATATTTGAGTGTGAATTTATATCAACTAAGCTAGTGCTAATGATGAATTTATTATGAATACTATATCAAGGTCTGGTTAGACTTGGGATGCTATAAAGAGCAATGGTTGAATGTTAAGATGTCAGCAGGAAATAAGAGTGGAGAGGGTTGGTGTGATACAGATACTTTGTTTCCAACTGCCCAAAATAGCAAAGACAGGAGTGTGAGAGAAGCAGATGCAAACAGTTTGACAGCAGCAACAAGGAGGATGTATCCTTAACATTTTACAGACAATAATAGATATAAATAAATTTGGTGCCACATCCCAATTCAGGTAAATAAAAAAATTAAAGCAAACAAGAGGGACTTTAATGGCCACCATGCTACATAATAAAAGTTAAAAATTCAAAGTTGTATTACAAAATATATAAAAACACTGTACATACAAGTACAACAAAACTGTTGGTCCATACTGTAAACAATACAACCACCATGAGACATATGCAGGTAATGATACATATGAAAACACTGACATGTTTCAACACTTGATAAGAATCTTCATCAGGGGATACTATCAGGGTGGATGCATCTAGAATGCAAGCGAGAAATGTTACAAACATACAGAACATAGTACATATATTTTATATTCAAAATGTTCAACCTGAAGTAACTTACTGGATCAATCTGTATATTATATACAATTCATAGGGGTGCTATAATCAACCCCTCACAAAGATAGAATCAAGCTGTTAAGGCACAAAGGGCATCGGACGATTCTCTCACTGGATAAAAAGACGGGTGATAAAGCAAAAAAAGAGAAACAAAAATACATATGAAAACAGGTCTATACCCACTTATTGCTAATAGGACTATATGAAACATATATGTTGTAATGTGTACCTTACGGGCTCATATTCTTCAGAAGAAAAACTTAAAATCCAAAGACAATGATGTCAGGCAGAGATACTTCAAATACCATTGAACCATATGGAATATATAATAGATGGCAGTTTCCAGACAATGGGTGAGACTGAAAGTAATAAATACCCCACCTAAAAAACATATATATATATATATATATATATATATATATATATATACACAAGCAAAAAGAATTATATATTGTACTAAAGTATCCAAAACTGGATAAAAGTAAACAATAGAACTAGTTTAAATTTCTGGAATCAACAGCCCATAAAAAATACACCTACCAGCCAGGAAGCAGATTACTACATGAAGGTCCCAAATGTTGACAAGCCCAAACAGCTAACAAGCACTAAAGGGTCAGCTATCCTTTAAATAGCCCAGCCCTGGGGAAAGTAACCAATTCCATACAAAAGGAGCTAAATAAGGCAGTATAATTCAGCCAATAAAGATGGTGTCAGAACGCCATCTAATCACATGCAAAACCACCCAGGGGGAAAGGGAGGGGTGGTTTTCCATCAGCAGCATTCTCCAGCCCAATTTCTGTTCTAAATTGCCATTAACACGTTCATGTGCGTGTAAAGGCAGGCATCCCAATAGTTTTGGCAATGTAGTTTATCTCTCTATTCAGTGGTTGAATCATTTGACATCCTTTGTGCCTTGATTACTGTCTTTATGAGGGGTTGATTATTCTACCCCTATGAATTGTATATAATATACAGATTGGTTAGTAAATTACTTCAGGTTGATAATTTTGAAAAAAAAAAATATGTTCTATGTTATGTTGTTTGTGCCATTTTGTGTTTGCATTCTAATGTAAAATTACCTACATATGTCTCATGGTGGTAGTATTGATTACAGTATGGACCAATAATTTTGTTGTACTTGTATGTACAGTGTTTTTATATATTTTGAAATAAAACTTTTGAATTTTTAACTTTTATTATGTAGTGTAGTGGCCATTAAATCCACTCTTTTTTTTTCTTTCATTTTCTATTTAAAATTTTTTAGACTTTGAGGTTCATCCTCTTACCAGAGGTTGCCACAAACTATCTTGTTGACCATGATGACTTTGTGGACTTATTGGCTTGCACACCTTTGCTTGCATTCCCAGCAGGGAGATGCCAGCTGGAATAATGGTGTGATTTGGGATTAAATGAGCATGAATTGGGGCAGTGGTTTTGACTTTCTCACTCTTAACATTGCCCTAGCCCTAGTGATGCAAACAAGATGATAAAGCACCATTTTTACGAAATTAAAATTAGATGACCAGTGAATGATAAAACACCTTTATCTTGTGATCTCCCACAAGGTTAGCTGATTTCTGCAAAGGATTAAGGATTGTTTGCATACACCTACAGGAATGGAAATTTTACTTTCTTTGAACATGATTTGACATAGAAAAAGCTCAGAGAGTTCAGTATAGTATTGAAGCTAGAGCTACCAAGCTACATTCAAGGGCTCACTAAGCTACCTTCCATGGTTTTAGTTAACATGGAGAAAACAATGTATTCTGCACAATACCAATAAACGCTACAGAGGAATATCTCACAAGGGAGCTTTCTTCTGAATTTTTAAAGCTTTGACATGAACAT